CAGTCCTTGGGAAGCTCTGGACAAATCACCCATCTCATAGCCCAACTAGGTGCTGGTGAGACTAAATAGGATCACCCTCAAGAAAACAGGAGGGCCTGATGAGATCTTGTCCATGGGGTCGCGAAGAGTCGGACTCGACTGTGCAACTGAACAACAACAACATGCACACTATCCTAAACTCCTGCCAGTGCCTTGGCCAATATTTGTCTTAGTGTTCAAAATAATTTATGTATCTTTGCAACTTTACAAAGGCTCTGTAAAGTAGGTCAGTATTATCCCCAAACTGCAGTTGGTAGACTGGACAGTCTGGTAGTAACTTGCTGGTAGCTTTCTATTGAGTTCATGGCAGAGCTGAGATCTGAACCGGGGACTTGTAGCCGAGTCTTCATCATTAAACTGAACTAGCTTCTTGGAAGACCGATGGAATACCAAAGTTTCAAACTGGAGTCTCGTTTGCCGTGATTCTTGCTTTTCTTTTGCTGCACTAAGGTTCTGTATGCCTGTTGTCATTTGTCATTCTGGTTGGGAGGAGGGAGTCCGTGAGTGTGTGGGTGTGAGGACTGCTTTGCTGGAAGTCGGGCTAGCTTGTAACGGCGTTAAGCGGGGCCTCCCTTTCTCTGGGAAGAATGTGCACTTGACCTTGGAAGCTAGACACTACTAGATACTAAACTTGCAGGTGCCGGGGTGGGGGTGGGGTAATGGTGCACAGTAGAATTGGCGGGCTGGATGTATTGATATGATTGGACTAGTCCAAGGGGGGTGTCTTTTGAATTGTGTGTATTATCTGAACTGGCACAAAGGGAGTCAGTTCTGACACAGATCGTCTTAGCTTGAAACATTTTCATCTCTCAATAAACAAATCACTGCCACAGACAGTTTTGTTGAGAGCAAGTTTGTTCAAGAGTCTGACACAAAGTGGCAAATTGTTAACTGAGGCACAGCACATGAAAAACAATCCGTTTTGTTACTTGAATGTGGCATTAGCAGTGAGAATCATACAGCTGGTTGGCTAATGAAGCAATACATTGACAAAATACACCCTTTTTAACTAAACTTTTTTTCACTGCCCTGTATGATCTTATTAGGCTACAAAGGAGCTCTAAAAATAGTCTGGGGAAGTGTGATATAGCAGCAGGTCACAATGTGTAATGCTTTTATCATTAATGTGGCTTACCCTACCATACCAGACATGTTCAGGAATAATGATGGGCATTTAGAAGTTACCACTTAGATACCACAAGTCAAAATTATGAGAGTTTTCACCCGTTGTTACAAATTCACAAGTTTTTGAAGTCTGTGACAGACTAGGAATGGGGGGAATGGAAGCTGGACTTAAGGTGACGTGCAAATGGTAGCAGGTGCACAAGGACCATTCCATTGCTCTGCTTTCTATTTTGTAAGTGGAAGCCAGGCAGAAAGGCATTGTGCAGTTCTGTATACTGAGTATATTTAAGATGATGCTTTCTTATGTACATATTTCTAATTTTCTAATTTTGTTTCAGCTGCTGTTTGACAGAGGAACTCCACCAGTCAGTCATGTCTAAGGATAAGCAACAGAGGCAAGTATTATCTTCACTGTTCTAAAATTAACACCTGCATTTCAATTACTCTTTTGCTTGAAAGTCTCATTAAAATATTCCATCTAAAATAATATTGGTGTAAGTTTTGTAAGCTTTCTCTGCTTGCAGATATGCAGTTTGTTGACTAGATATGAAGCTTTGCAGCTTGATCTGTATTCTGGATTAATTAGAACACTTGCTACCCCCCAAAATAAGCTGATTCACCAGTTTAAATTTAAAAACCTGTCCATATATTAAACTTGCAAGCACTGGATTTGAGCCTAAGGAACGCAAGTGGTGTGAGTTTGTGAAGGAGGTTTTGATGCCTTTTCACTGTGCCCAACCCTCTGTTCCTTGGGTAAGGGAAATAGGGTGGGAAGCAGCATGGAAGACTATAACTAGAAGGGGGAAATCAGCATAAACTGTGCTCCCTTGCTACATTATTATAAACATAACTTCTCAAAACGTTTTTATGTTTAGAGCAATATTTGTTTGTCTTTCTTTGAAGCTTTTTCTTAGTAACACAGATGTTTAGAGATACTGTAATGCACACTAGAAAGAATGTGGTGAATTGGGTTTCAGTTGTCCCTTTGACTTGGCTACAGATGCATATGCAATTTCTGTTTGCTGGAACTAATTCAGCATGTTGCAATCTTGGGATCAGTTCTAGTAAGGGTTTGTATCCAGATACTTTCCAAAAAGGGGTGGCTTCATTACAGTATTTGGGTATATACCTTTTCTAGATGCTGTCAGGCAGTGTTGAAATATTCCCTAAAGTCAGAACTGGAATCTGGATATAAAGGGCAGTGTGTGGAACTGTATGTGTTCTGTGGCTTTGGCCCTGGCTGGGATCCAGACTAGACAAGGGATTTCTGCGCACAGAACTAGAATTTCTTTCCTCTCCATCTTGTGTGGCAGCCCCAAAAGCCCCCTGAAATCCTGTTCCAGGAGGTCCCCCTTTCCCCTCAAGAACAGGATTGGGAGGACACTTTGGACTGCTGTGGGAGGGAGGAAAGCCATGGTCCTTGCATCTGCAGAAGCATCGGTCTGGGTCCAGCCCCCTCTTTCCTACTGCAGCTCCTTATGTTCCCCAAAATACTTCTAAAGATTGGGAGAAATCTCTGGAATGGAACTTGATGGAGTGTGAGAGGATGCAGGTAGAAAACATTGCCCATGTGTATGCAAATAACTTTTTCTTATATATGAGATTCTGTGTATCCCATTCATAATATATATATTTGGTCTTGGGTTTTACCTTCTCTTAAGGGGCTGCGGTGGCTCAAGTGGTTAAGACGTTGAACTGCAGACCAGAAGGTCGGTAGTTCAGCAGTTCGAGACCTGAGTGCTGCATGATGGAGTGAGCTCCCGTCTCTGGTCCCAGCTCCTGCCAGCCTAGCAGTTCGAAAGCAAGAAATTGCAAGTAGATAAATAGGTACCACTTTGGTGGGAAGGTAACAGCGTTCCGTGCACCTCGGTGTCTAGTCATGCCGGCCACATGACCACGGAAACGTCTTCGGACAGCGCTGGCTCTTCGGCTTGGAAATGGAGATGAGCACCGCATCCCTAGAGTCGGATTCGACTGGTTTGCGAGCAAGGGAAACCTTTACCTTTACTTTACCTTCTCTAGGAAATTCTTTTTTACCCATGGAAAACACTTGCTTTAGTCTATCTAAATAATGGAATTAAGGTTCTGTATCTGGGATTGATAACCAGAATGATAGTGGTTATAGTGTCAGACTAGGATCTGTGAGACCCAGGTCTGAATCCTCACTGTACTGTGGAAACTGACCTTGAGCTAGTCACTCTCTTAGCTTAAAGACCCTTGGTTGTGAGGATAAAATGGCGAAGGCATGAAATACTTTAGAAAATCCCTCTGTATCCCCATTGGTGAGAAAAGCAGAGTACAAATAACAAAATAATTTAGTGTGCATTACGTGACTCTCTTCTTGACTATGTCAAGATAAAGAGACATTAACCTTCTGCTTCTATACATTTATGCTACTGTAACGCAAGAGCTATTTGTGACTAAGCTTTGATAGTATAAAAGCTCTACATGGGGCTGCTTTATCACAAAAACATGCTCCTGTTTATAAACGGAATAATGTTCCTATATACTGCTGATATCGGAGGTGTATACCGTTGCTGGTGTAATAATGGAACAAAATCTCTATTCCAAGTTCTTACTTTAAAAAAAATGCCTGTGTCAACCGTAAAAACATAGTTTCATTAGACAAACTAATGGCAACATATAGCAGTTTCTGCTAATAGAGCAGGCAAGATTTTACAATCACAAGGCTTGGCTGTTTTGTGTTTCTTCGTGCTTGTCACTGTATTGCACAATGTGCTCAATATGAGTAGTAATAGTACCTTAATTGAATACTTGTAACTCTGGTGATGTTTGCCTTTTTAAAAGAAATCGAAAATATGTAAAACTTGTGTTTCCATCAGCTTGGGCATTCTGTCTGAAAGATTTGGTCTTCAAACTAGATGTAATAGTGCATAATCCTGTGGCTGCCTTGATAGCCATAAAGCTCTTATTGAGCTCTGAGAAAAGATCTACCAATATAAACACGTATAATATTCATGAACTTTTTTCTTCACTCCTGCTGCTTCTGGCCAAGAATGAGAACTTTATTCATGTGACCTGGCTTATATACCCTTCCAAACCCCAGATTATATTATTTATGCATGTGATCTCATCTAACTGCAACAGATATGACCCTTTCTGTGCTTAATTTTCTCAGTTAATGTTCTTCTAGCATTCAAGTTAGTTTGATATCCCTTGCTTACTCCCCACCTACACTCCTACTGTTTGACACTTGCTGCTTGACACAGCTGTGACTGCTTGCCTGCTTCTCCTATGTGAAGTGTTGTGCTTGGGGGAGAAGGTTGCTATGTCTGTTCTTGAGAGTCTGAATTAGTCCATGTGTGTGCCACTAAAGTCTAAAAAAGAAAGCCTTTATGAAACTTCAGAATCTTAGCTAAAACTGCCTGTGGTATGTGTTGTCACTTAGGAACTCTGTCACTGCTTGAGGGAAGATACCTTACATTTAACTACCATGTTTTTGGTAATAGTTCATTGGGAATACACACCTCTATGCACATTGCTGTCTCTTGAATACCATGGAGAGAGTGCTGTGTCAGACTGACATGAGATGCAGAATTTAATTTACACTTTATATTTCTCCAGATGCACTTTGTTGTCTGGCATGGCAGTTCATTTAGCAAGGAGATATGATCTATTCAAAGTAGCATTCACTTTAAATTTACAGTCCATTTTTTTAACACTTCTCACTTTTTCTTTTTTATCTAGGAATATTTCTTCATGACCAAAGCAAACTATTATGCTTTGTGTTTGGCTCACAACATAAATGCACTTAAATCTCTGTGTTAAGAGAATGCTTGACTTGTTTAGGAAAGAATAAAGTAATTGCATGTTTTCTCACAGTAGATTATCTTGACCTGATTGTGCATGAAGTATAATTGGGTTTTTTTGTTTAACATTAGATAAGCATGAGACCGCCGTGGCACAGCTGCATGTATATTCATTCTTGAAGCAATTGCACACTTTATTGGCTGACAATCTTGGCATTTTTAGCAAAAAACAAAAGGCACAGGACAGCTGTGTTTGACTTGTCAAACAAAATTTTGGGTGTCATCTGATGGAGCCTTCTGGTGGTGAACAATTTTATGATGACCCCGACCCTGGAGGCAAGTCTCAAGATCAAGAGGCCAAAAGGCAGCATGAGTCAGAGCAAAAGTTGTCTAAAATTACCCACAATGCCTTGGAAAATATTAATGTGATCGGTCAAGGTTTGAAGCACCTCTTCCAGCACCAGCGCAGGAGGTCCTCAGTGTCTCCGCATGATGTGCAGCAAGCTCAGGTTGATATGGAGCCTGAAATGGAACTGGAAAGCCAAAGCACATTTGCTGAAATTGATGGTGTGTCTACCCACTCTACAGCTCTGAACAGAGTTCTTCAACAAATCAGAGTGCCACCTAAAATGAAGAGAGGAACAAGCTTGCATAGCAAGCGGGGCAAGTCAGATCCTCCAAAAGGAAGCCCTCAGATCAACAGGAAGTCTGCCCAGGACATTCATTCAGGCCGACCCCGATCCTCATCAACTACTGATGCTCCTACTAACTTATCTGTGCTAGAGATGGCATCTCCCGTTTATGTAGCTGGTGAAGAGACTCTTTCGGCAGAGCGGGTGAGTTCTGGTAATTGTAAAATATGTGGTCTTGTTAAATGCTTAAATGACTAAAATTTAAAAAATCTGTCTAGCAAAATAGGAGACAAAGCTAAACCTTTTTTGTTGAGAGTCCTGCATCTGAACGAGGTGACTGCATCAAACACATTACTGTACTGCTAATAAGAAATGGCAATAAACACTGTCTGATTTTGTACCTTAACAAAGTTTGAGTCCAGTGGCACCTTTAAGACCAACAAAGTTTTATTCAAGTTATAAGCTTTTGTGTACATTCACGCATCTTCAGATTTTGTACCTTGTTGGGGATATTAACTTGTAGATGTCAACTTTCATTTTTATATTAGAAGGTTGCTTGCCATTGGCACTTGAAACTCCAATCCAAGTAAACTATTTCTATGAAGCCAATAACCTCCACCCCCATCCTGGGATCTTCCCCCACCAATAATTCCAGTGTTTCAATTCTGTTATACTATGCAGTTTCAACTGTTCAGGTTAATGTCTTTAGTGAAAATTCTCTTGGTGGTGAAACATTGTGTGTTCCTGATATATTAGTGCTTGTTCTTGAAAAACTTTGATTCAAGGCATCGGTCACATCAAGGGGGAGAAATACCCAGTCTGTCTTGTAGCCTTCCTCAGTTATGTTCCTTAGGACTTTGATTAATTTTGAAAGTGGTCACTATTCAGACTTTGGAATTCATTCCAGTCTTTAACACAAAGTTCTCTTCTTACGTAGACTGTTCATTTCCTACCTTGAAGGCATCCCATCTGTCTTGTAGGAATGACTGATTAAAATGGTGCGTTAGATTTAAATGATAGCTTGTGTTCTGTTAGATAAATGTATTATTGGAAGCATGATAGCACAATTAAAATACAAAATGGAACTAATTAGTAGAGAATGCTTGGGCTTCCTTAGAAAGTATCATCTTGAAAGATGAGGAAAGTTCTGTTGCATTGGGCAACTTAAACCTAAGCCCTAGACCCCGGAAAGCAAGGGGGTTGCTTTTGAAAGAACAAGAGTGTTGGTAACTCCACAGTAGAGCAGGTAGATGCTATTAGTTGTGTTGCAGCTGCAGGAGGTGGTCGATACTGCACTGTGAATGGGATCCACCTTTGCCTCTGTCCCTGTTGGGAGGCTGCCTGAAAAGAGCAAAAAGAGAGAGACTGGTAGTAATGTTCAGCAAATGGGCTTAAGCCCTTTGCATATGATATGAGCTACAGATTGGTGAGAGTAGCACCACCACCTAGGTGCTCCATCAGTTCCTATACGTTCTCCTCCCCTTCTTGCATTTAAGGGAATTAATCTTTTCTTATTTATTGTATACAACCATTGAGCTGATACTTATGTATCCCATGTAGGAATTTATATCAGAAAGGCCTGCAATTTCTGCTGGGGTTGTTTCATGGGGCTTAGATCCTACAAGACAGTAGGCATCATGAGTATTTGGACAGCAGAAGCAAACGTTGCAGTGGAATGACTGGTAGTCACTGAGGTCTATGGCTGTGTGCCCCCTAGGAGGCAGGGGGTTAATACCAGCATGGCAGTGTGGTAACATACCATCAGCGTATCTGCAAATACCCCCCCCCCTTCTGCAGTGTGCATACTTACTGATTTTGACTGTTGGGGAAGACGGGTTTTTAAGTTAATATAGATCAGGTATATGTGGAAAGTGTGGAGAAATATGGGTTGCCGTCAAGGCTCAAAGCAGGGGATGAAGCCTCTGGCATCTGTTGCCTGAGCTGATAGGCAACATTCAAAGTGCTGGGAAAATGAAATAGGCTTTGTAGCCTGTCAGAGATTTTCTAAAAAAAAATTCTTGAAAAAAGTGAAAGGCAAGGCAGAGTCTGAAACATTACTCTGACTTTAGGTTTGTAGGTATTGTTGTGTGGGCAAAGTAGTATGGCTGAGTGAGATGCTCCAGGAGGTAAACAGTAGTGAGCCCAGAGGAAGGGTCAGTAGTGGCCCAGGGTTCAAGAAGAATAAGCAGAAGAGACAAAGACATATGAAGAAGAGTTGGTTTTATACCCTGCTTTTCTATACCCTAAGGAGCCTCAGAGTGGCTTACAATTGCCTTCCTTTCCTCTCCCTATCATAACAGACACCCTGTGAGGTGGATGGGGCTGATGGAGCTCTGAGAGTACTATGACTGACCCAAGGTCGCCCAGCAGGCTTCATGTGGAGAAGTGGGGAATCAAACCCAGTTATCCAGATTAGAGTCTGCTGCTTTTAACCACGACACCAAGCTGGCTCTCTATGAGATGGTGCATACACGGAGACTGTGTCGTGTCTGCAGATAGAAGAGACTGTGTGGCATTGGTAGAAAAGGTATAAAGGAGAAGAACAGTGTTAGCAACTGGCTAATGGTGACTGAGGGTCAGGACAGTTGAATGAAGCAGATTAGAGGCAAAACTTCATATTTTGTGTACTTTTTGCAGTTTTGTGTTTACCTAATGTTGTAATGAAATTGCCATGGGGACTGAAATGGGTATGGTGAGAATGGTGCTTATCCTTTTATGATCTTTGGTAAAATTGTGTGTATCCACACCCCATGGCAGCTTTTCTCACCAAGAGAAAAAGATTTAGGAATCCTTGGTCAGGGCCTCTCTTTTTTTTCTTGTTCTCCCCGTTTTCTACCACCACGATGACATCCTTAGGCCTCTGGTTGTATTGCATGTACTTAATTGCAAGGGAATGGATGTCATGAAGCTGTTACTGCTGCATAGGTGTGGTGTAACCTCTCCGTGGCACCTGGAGATGTGGATGTCTTTATCTACCAATAATGACTGAACTCTCTAGGCTTTGAACAGCAGTGGTAGAATAAGCTGTTTGAAGACTGAAAATAAAATAATATTTTGTAGCTCCATGTTTCTAACCACTTGTCAGTTGAACAGATTTAGTGTCCAGTGGCACCTTTAAGATCAACAAAGGTTTATTCAAGGTGTGAGCTTCTGTGTGCATGCATACTTTATCAAATACATTAGAATGGCAGGCAAGGTTCAACTTATAGCCAGAGAATGAACAGCAAATTAACATGCAACATGATGATCAAGATAGGCAAAGTGATGCTAAATAACAAGTTAAGATTATAGGGTCAACAGTTGTAAACCAATAAATATGTCAAACTAGCAGATAAATGTCTAAAGGTGTATTTTCTAATTGTTGGAAGTGACTTGTCCATTGGTTTACTTATTGCTTGACTGAGAGATTCCCCCTCCTCCTCCTGATCTGTTTGACCTGGAAAGGAAGTTACTGGTGGTGGGAATAGGCTTTTACATTTATTGTACAAACACTTAAAATCAAAAGTTGCTTTTTTTGTGCATAGTGGCAAACGTGAAGATATGAGGGCCTGCGGCAAAGAACAGGGTGGGGGTGGGTGGGAATTGTGTATGTTTCATTTCCCAACGGAAGAATTGGAAATTTTGTGGAACACTGAAAAGCTCCTGTAATCTACTTTGAAATGAATAGAAATTTTAAAAGAATGTTTTAATTTTATTAGTTCTTCAATAGTGTATTTGATATGCTTATTAAATTTAAAAGTATCTTTCTATAAGAAAAATTATGACTATACCTAATATTATAGATGCAAACTTAGCACATGTTTTTGGGTATAAAACGTAAGAGAACAAAGTTGAAAATAAAATTTTGTCATAAACTAAGGGTGTATTTGGACAGAAACAGTCTCACACAGTAAGAGCAGGAGTAGCAGCATATATAGATATCAAGTTAAACTTTAATACGGAAGATAGATGATGATGGGTAGCCGTGTTAGTCTGACTGTAGCAGTAGAGAAGAGCAAGAGTCCAGTAGCACCTTAAAGACCAACAAAATTTGTGGTAGGGTATGAGATTTCGTGAGTCACTGCTCACTTCTTCAGATAGTGATAAGTGAGCAGTGACTCACGAAAGCTCATACCCTACCACAAATTTTGTTTGTCTTTAAGGTGCTACTGGACTCTTATTCTTTAACACTGAAAACATTGGACTCTTCAATAGTGTATTGCCATCATACCTATTATAGCAAATTGTGGACAACATTAGTCAATTTAAACAGACACACTGTTGAAAATATATTGCATGTATATACAGTACTTGACTATATTTGTATGCTGTTTTTCTCTGTCGGTCAAAGTTGTTAAATATAAAACAGATTTTAAAAAACAACAACTGGAACCTGGAATCTTAAAACGATAACCCAAGCACCTCCAAATCAAGACGTTAAAACCAAGTTGAAACAAAGTGTACCTAACCAATATAGCTGTATTCTGTCATCTGAATAATTCGAGTAAGTCTTTACTTCAACTGGCCCCTGATTCTTTAGGACTGTGGCAATGACAGTCATGAATTTTACCTCCTTTGTTGAAGAGAGATAGTAAATCATGTGTGCATCTTCCTATCTATCTGGACTCATATGACAAGAGGCGTTCCTTCAAGTATGTGGGACCTAGACTATAAATGACTTCAGAGATCAAAACCAATACCTTGATTTGGCTCATGAAGCAGACATATAGCTAGTGCAGCTGCTGTAATCCTGCAGACATATGAGTAGTCAGACTACCTCTCATCAGCTGGCTACTACATTCTGGACCAGTTGCAGCATCTGAATTGTCTTTGAGGGCAGGTCCACATATAATGTATTACTGTAATTTAGTCTTTAGGTTGGCTGTGCAGATTTGTGTGGCAATGTCAACTGTGTCTGAAAACAGGTGG